CTTTACAACCTTTTATGAAGCTATTGGTCAATGATTTCCTTTCAAAAAATATACATTGCCTCCATAAATAAACATTAATATTGTAGTTCCTCTGGTATAAGCCCACACTCATATATAAATACCCAATACCAGTACCAGTACTTCATAAGTTTTAATATTTTTCATGAATTTTTTTACAAGTCCTTCACTAACTTAGAGGTCTTGACTGGAAACTACTACTAAAAGGTATAATGAACCAGTTATGAATTTAATCAACCAGAACCAGAATCTAACCCTGGGCTTAGGCTGGACCTATATACTGTACATCTACATGCTCATTATTGTTTCTGGTTCAGGTACAATAAGTCTACCCAACAAACTCGACCCAATGTTTTCGCATATATTTTTTCAATTAAAATCTGATAGCCTAGTTTATGAGCTTAACACAGACAGTATATCTTTTATATTCAAATTGAATTGGATTTAATTATTAATGAAATGACCACCCAGTGGCATATCTAGGAGAATTGAAATAGGGGTGCTGATGGGGGGGGGGCACGAAGGTGAAGTGGATGGGAGGGAGAGCGCGAAGGTGAAGTGGGGGAGCTCGATGATCAGTTAAGGAGCGCTAATTCGCAAAATAAGTTGATTTTAAGTGATTTTTAACTACTTGACCGTGATTTTTGGGGGGAAGACTGGGGGGGCACGAGTAATTTTTTGGAGGCGTGTGCACCCCTAGATACACCTCTGTGACCACCAAGACCAGATATATGACTGACATTTCTAAATGTTTACTAAAAAAAAAACACTTCTGCAAAACCTTAAACTTTTGTGGTCCACATTATACACTATTTTTTTTTGTTGCAAATGTGCATGATTTTTAGACCTAATCAATCATAACACAATAATAAGAGTCTGTTGAGATGGATAAATCACGTTTTTTTGTTCTCGATTCTCTTAGAATGTGAAGACAATGAGGTGTACAAACGTTATGGCACGGACTGTATGAGTCAAACCTGCCGCAGTTACACAGCCGGTGAAGAACCAGAATGCGGTGAGCCATACGAGGCTTGCTTCTGTGATGCCGGTTACTACGTTAACGAAGAAGGTGAATGCGTACCTCCACACGAGTGCGAATGCATCTATGAGGGCGCTGTTTATGAAGCTGGGGAACTGTGGAAAAAGAACAACTGCACAGAATGTTCCTGCAAGAATGGTGAAGTGGAGTGCTTCAGCTACTGTGAAGTACCTGTGTGTGAAGATGTAAGTATCAAAGACGTAGGGTGCAGTTGTAGCTTTCAATCTCAGGGTATGAGTTCAAGCCCCATAATTGGCCAGATTTTCTCTGTTAAGACTAAAAGACCATATCTTATATTTTAACTCTTGCTGTTGGAAATGAAGTATTTTACAACAAAAAAAAAAATATTTTCCTTAGATCATTGTGGTTGAATATATTAGTTTTATTATATAACTTACAAAAAAATATTTATTTCCAACAGGGATATGAATTGGTTGTCAGAGAAGGTGAATGCTGTCCAGTGTGCGAGAAAATATATGGTAAGATGATATCCGTATTGACAATATATTATTTGATATTATTTAATTTGCACATAATTATTTAATCCTGTACATATTTTCTTATTCTTAACAATCTCATGGTTTCTTTTGTCATTTAACAGAACCTGAAGACTCCTGCCATTTGTCAGTTGAGGTTCGTAATGTGACCAACAGCCGTGGTTGCCGCGCAAATGATGTCAGCATTCCTGTATGTGTTGGACGATGTAAAAATAACAATGAAATTGTCCTGGACTCTCCAAATACCTCTGGCTGTCGATGTTGCCAAGGCTACATAGATTCAAGTCTTACAGACAACGAAGGGAATCCACGACCAACATACGACCTAATCACACTCATCTGTCCTGGTGGAGAGCCTGAGGAAGGAGCCATCCCGCTCTACTCGGGTTGCACTTGTGATCATCCATGTCAAAGTGGTGAGTTTGTGTGCTTATGAAACCAACCTCTTAAAATAATGGAATTGCCCATCTAGCAGTTTAAGAGCGCCAAAAACTGTACACACTTCCTTGTTCTATTTTCGATCTGGTGATCGCGATGATAGTGAATAATTGATGATGATAATTGTGACAATAATTGATGTTGACAATGTGATTGTCACATTGATAATGAGGGTGGGTTATATGGTAAATCATTATGCCTTTTGTTTTATAACTTGATCTAAGCGCATAGAGGCACTGCGAAATATGCGCTATACAAATGTAAATTATTATGATTATTGTTGATTCTAATGGTGGGTAGCAAATAACAAGATATAAATATTTTGATGTTATTGTTGAATCTAAGTTCTTAATTTCCAATTTTTGATTTATCTTCTTTTTTTTTCAGATTCGCATGGACACACGTGGGGCTAGACGTCGTCAAAATTTCCATAAGACGCACCAAATATAAATAAAGCAATGTTAAAATAATTGTTATAAGAACCTGACCCTCTCTTTCCGTTTGTCCACAGATATTAAATGCAATTGATAATTTCAGTAAATAAAACTATCATCATCACTTTCGCTTTAATTAATATTTTCATAGCATTCTAGATATTAATATTATATATATGATTATTTTCGATTTATGTATAAAAGTACAAAGTGCAATGATGCCTACATACAGTAAGGCTTGAATTCAAAATGACTTTAAATGTAATGCGCTACTTTTTTGAAATTGCTGTGACGAAACACTTACGTAATACGGTAAAAGTGAGTAAAAGTTGTGCCAATTTATTGGTAAATGGTATATTTTATAATCAAATTAGTGCAATCAGTGTCAACAATAGACAGTTTTTGAAATCACAATGTATGTAAATTTGCTGACTTTTTCCTGTGATGTAAAAACGGTCGATTTCACGCCGTGAACACAGCAAATAGTAATAATAATTACATACGCATACTTTGAATTTGGCAGGCCAAGTCATGTGTAACGTGTGACATTTTACATTGTGATTTCAAAAACTTCATAACAATTCTATGATGTATAACTTACTATTTATCAAATCAAAACTATTGTATAAAATGTATTAACTGTAAGAAATATATTGTATTTAAAATGAAAGATAATTTATGAGATTGCATATACAGGCCTATATTGAATTTGAAACTATTGTTTACCTATCGCTTTCCTTGAGAATCCCAGCAAATAAATATGTTCAGAGATAATTTCTTTTGTGTGTGATTAGTAATTTTCTGTTTTGTGTTTTAAATAATTTTGTATGCAGTCTAATTGTCTACAAAACAATAGGTCGTTAATGCTAACATCTGCTCTGTAGTCCTAACAAACAATTACTTCATATATGCGGCTGTGGTGGGTCCAGGAGGGGATGGGGCAGGGAAGGACTTCCAGCGATGGAGGTCTCTATACCACCTCAGTCCCACCATAGACAATTTGTGATTAAGCCTGTGGCAACTCTAGGTGGCTGGTAAAGGCACTCTCAGACTTCAATTTGAATATAATTTTCTTTTTTCACCTTTAAAAAAATAATTCGTGGGAGTGGGACATGCCGGCTGGTTCCCCTTTGAATCCGCCACTGCAAAGCTCGTTTTTCCAAAGTACATCATTGCACCGCATATAGTATACTGCTGTAAGCAAAGAACATAGATATAAATAATAAAATAATAATAATAATATGTATTAGAACATACACCTTTAGATCGGTGGCACTCAAAAATCATTTGGTGCGTTCAAAATAAAACAAAATAAATAAGTTAAGATTCTTAGCTACAAGTACAAAAAATTAAATTATTAAACAATACATGACATTCTTAAGTAAAAAAATAAACACAAGTATAGTGCTGCTGATGATCCCCGCCACAGATATTAAATGCAATTGATAATTTCAGTAAATAAAACTATCATCATCACTTTCGCTTTAATTAATATTTTCATAGCATTCTAGATATTAATATTATATATATGATTATTTTCGATTTATGTATAAAAGTACAAAGTGCAATGATGCCTACATACAGTAAGGCTTGAATTCAAAATGACTTTAAATGTAATGCGCTACTTTTTTGAAATTGCTGTGACGAAACACTTACGTAATACGGTAAAAGTGAGTAAAAGTTGTGCCAATTTATTGGTAAATGGTATATTTTATAATCAAATTAGTGCAATCAGTGTCAACAATAGACAGTTTTTGAAATCACAATGTATGTAAATTTGCTGACTTTTTCCTGTGATGTAAAAACGGTCGATTTCACGCCGTGAACACAGCAAATAGTAATAATAATTACATACGCATACTTTGAATTTGGCAGGCCAAGTCATGTGTAACGTGTGACATTTTACATTGTGATTTCAAAAACTTCATAACAATTCTATGATGTATAACTTACTATTTATCAAATCAAAACTATTGTATAAAATGTATTAACTGTAAGAAATATATTGTATTTAAAATGGAAGATAATTTATGAGATTGCATATACAGGCCTATATTGAATTTGAAACTATTGTTTACCTATCGCTTTCCTTGAGAATCCCAGCAAATAAATATGTTCAGAGATAATTTCTTTTGTGTGTGATTAGTAATTTTCTGTTTTGTGTTTTAAATAATTTTGTATGCAGTCTAATTGTCTACAAAACAATAGGTCGTTAATGCTAACATCTGCTCTGTAGTCCTAACAAACAATTACTTCATATATGCGGCTGTGGTGGGTCCAGGAGGGGTGGGGCAGGGAAGGACTTCCAGCGATGGAGGTCTCTATACCACCTCAGTCCCACCATAGACAATTTGTGACTAAGCCTGTGGCAACTCTAGGTGGCTGGTAAAGGCACTTTCATACTTCAATTTGAATATGATTTTCTTTTTTCACCTTTTAAAAAAATAATTCGTGGGAGTGGGACATGCCGGCTGGTTCCTCCTTGAATCTGCCACTGCAAGGCTCATTCTTCCAAAGAGTAGAAAATTACAATTGCATCATTGCACAACATATTATAGTTTACTGCTGTAAGCAAAGAACATAGATATTAATAATAAAATAATAATTATAATATGTATTAGAACATAGGCCTACACCTTTAGATCGGTGGCACTCAAAAATCATTTGGTGCGTTCAAAATAAAACAAAATAAATAAGTTAAGATTCTTAGCTACAAGAACAAAAAATTAAATTATTAAACAATACATGACATTCTTAAGTTAAAAAATAAACACAAGTATAGTGCTGCTGATGATCCCCGAAAAACATGACAATTAAATACAATTGCATGAACAACGTGCTTTACTTGTCACAAATTTCGAAGGGCCACCTGTACGATCAATGGACTCCGCGATAAAGTGCCGGTAAACAAAATTAATTAACTACAAATTATTAATCAGTAATACATATACCGTAAACTGGGGTAACATTGGCATGCAGGGTAACTTTGGCAGTTCACTACCTGCAAACTTTGTCGGCTCGTTCGGAGGATTTCTATTCACCTGATTGGAGAATGGTTGGTACCAACTTGTTCAGAAATAAATAATTTCATTATATCAAGTTTGATTTTTTTTTTAAACAATATGTTTTTATAAAAATATAAGAAAGACTTTAGGGGCGTGGCCTAATTTTAAGGGTCATTTTAAAAAATTGCGAATAAATAGAAAAAAAATAAAATCGAAGACTGGCCATATGGTAACGCCCTCTAGTTGTGTCAAATGTAAAGAAAATCGTGTACAAAAGCCTTTACCGATCGTGCATTGTTCGCCAAACTTCTTTCGAAAAATCATAATATTCAGAAAATGTCCAGCCTTTGTTATAGCAACTATTTGCTTGACCTTGAACGGTAAGTCAGCTATATATGAGCTAAAGAACATATTAAGTGTGTGACTATGAAAGAATACTCTGTAATCATGATTTAAAAACATGTTTAAGCTTGTCTAAGCATCTTGCAATGCAGCTAGACGACATACACCATGCATGAGGCATCATGCTGCATGCTTGTGCCTGACCTTTAACTCCTCCAAGTCTAGGCCTAGTCAATTCTCTCTAGCCTAGGCGAGAATGTTTAGCATAATTTAGGGTACTGGACACACCCACAACCACTAAATTATTTATGGATGATGTATTCAGAAGTGTCTATACAAATAATTATCAAAATTATTAATCCTAACTAAAAATAATAGTATAATATTATTTATGATGCCAACATTACTACTAGGCCTAAACCCGGAAGTAAATGTTTTGTTTTTGTTTGGTCAACGTAAATTTAAATAGTAGTACATATAAAGGTTTATACTGTATAACAATAAAGTTACCTTTCTTTCATGTATTTATTTAACCCCAGGCCTTTTTCTATATAGTGAATTTAAAAATGTCAGTAGGGAGAAAACAATTTAAAAGTGTTTGGTATTATTAAATGGTTTCGCTTTTAAATTGCAGTTCCATCATGGTTTGTAATTACAAGGCAGGAAATGGAAAGAGGAAATAATAATCGTTCAGTGACGATGATGTATAAGAAGCCGTAGATGCCGTACGTGGTCGACTCTACAAAGCAAGCTAAATCAAAAGCATAAGAAAAATGTAGGACGACCTACAGTGCTGAGTGAAGCGGAGGAGATGGTTCTCGTTCAAACGCTCTCGGAAGTGGCAAAATGGGGGTACCCATAACTCCATATGACCTGAAAATTATTATTCAGACGTATCTGAATAAACAAGGGAGAGAAGTTAAGGTGTTCAATGCAATGGTGGTGAATACAAGCCTGAATTTGGTTGCGATGAATGTGTATGTGCGAGTAATTCGGACTATGGGATTTTAGCTAATATAAATGCATATTATTATACAGCACTTTAATACTTTATAATTATGATTTTTTAATGATTTCATACTGTTTTAAAGTTTTATTGGATGCTATTAAAGTTGATATTTGCTTGCCAATACAATTCATCTTGTGTTTGTCTATTTTATTCTCAACATTTATGTTAATTCATAGAAAATATGTCAAGTGCCAAAGTTGCCCCAAACATAGGGTAACTTTGGCAGCTCCTTAATGGGCCCCCAGGGAAGAATTGTATGCAGATTTTAATTTTTTTTCAACATGAGTGGCAACATTAACCCTCAAATGTAAATAATATGGTAGAAAGAAAAAAAAAGATTCAGTTTTTTTGGAGATATTGGCCCTATAATGTGAAAAACCTGCCAAAGTTACCCCAGTTTACGGTACTTAATCTACGACAAGGTTTGTAAATGCTTAAGTTCATTACAAGTTCTACACGCTCGTTTGCCGTAAACTTTACAAAATTCATCGAAGCATTTCTCGACTTTTTTAAAGGAAAGAGTAGTGGAGCCTAAGACATAACTTAATTTGATATTAATATTAGCATTCGAAAATTGATCCCAGACATCAATATTCTGACTTTAATTTACATTCAAGTTTATTTACCTCCTCTAAAGCTAAACGTATGTATAGGAGCGCCGGGCGGACAAGTAATTAAAAAGTGTCTTATGTCTTCTTCATTATTTGTTTTGCAAAATGTACATATGCCATTCTTGTCCTCAGACCATCTAGAAACTCTACTATCAGGGGGTGACTTTAAATTTCAATGATACACCTTCCAAAATCCAATTTAACTATTATATAATTTTCTAATTTTTCTTTGAATAATGAACATTGCCGGTCTACAGTAATCGGCAATGGGGGTGGGGGAGGGGCGTACTTTCAATATCCTCTTTCCAGTTAATATTGTTTATTTCGTTTACTGTTTTGAAAAATGGATTAAACCAGTAATATGTAATTGCACTGATTATTAGATTAGATTAGATTACTAGAAGGTCCTCAAATTCACACGAAGTGGAGTTGAATAGCTCAGTGGCTATTAAGATGCTTGCCTTCTGATCCCAGGATCATGGGTTCAATTCCTGTCAGAGCAAGAATTTTTCTCGCCACTAATATCAATTCCACTCCCCTAAGTCTCATAAAGAGGCTTATAAAGCGTCATTCCCATCCTGTAAGTGGCGAGTGTACTTGCTCTTGGATGAGTGAGGGAAGTTATTAGGATCACATTGAAACTGATTTGTTGCATTTTGGAGGAGTTTTGGCCAACTATACGGTTTTATCGTAATTAAACGATAAAAAAAAATTAAGTCTTGAAGTGTCATGCATTTATTGGGATCCATCCAAGTTCCCCAAATAATGTAGATCGGGGAGTGTTCATAGGGTCTTTTAAAATATATCGTACCATTTGTAAGTGTAAGTCGAACGATTATCACAATAGCGCCACCTATAATGTTGATATTTTTATATCAACCATTGTAATAATTTTTTTTTTCTCCACAATTTTGATGGTGACAACTTCTACCAGCTACCCTTTCAAATTTGTTGTGAATTATTATAGACCGACACTAATTCCCTTCGGATGGAACTTCAAGCCGTTGGTTCTTAACTCGCAGAATAGCATATAGGCCTATGCCTATTACAGGCCCTACTTCTCTCTACTATGTACGTAAAAGGCCTATATTGGTACGAAATAATATGAATGTAATAATAATTATTATAACATGGTTATCACTTATCAGTCTGCCCTTTCTAATATTTTTTTATGTACGGCCATTTTTATTTTCTTATTTCACATTCCTTCTGGCATAAATAGTTAAATTACTGCCGCTATTTTACCTCTTTGCTAGAATCAACAACCTTTAGCTTTTCTATACGTTTCAATTTGATCGAATTTGAACCTTTTGTCTATACGTTCACGAATATATTGTATGCAAATAAGGAAGTTAGCTCCGTGCTCTCTATAAATAGCATTATTACACTCAAGTAATTAATGTTAATGGTACGACATTGTACTTTGTTTTTCTGAAAAGGTACCACCGTGTCCGCGGGTCATGGTTAGTTAATCATGCATCTTAACACTGCAATGATACCCGTTAATTATTATTTCTCAACGCCTTTGATTTGCATTCCTTGACCTATCCATTATTTCAATAAAATTTCTCCAAACGTCTCATATAATTGTAGCGTAATAACAAAAAGAAAACTATCGATACAGTTACAGCTATATCAAATCGAACACTGTACGCCTATTCGGCCGTTCATTAATTATTAGAATTTAGAAGTGTTTTGTGAGAGCATAGAATCGTGGAAGTATGTTTAACTCCTCTGGATTTGCATCATATCAGATCATAAAGGATAATCAAATGATATTTTATAATGACAGTGTGCAAGAGACTATTTATCGCTAAATAGACGGTGACCGGAGTCGAGTCAATCCAATGAATCTTGAATAAAGCCAATAGGCTTTTTTGCGAGTGTGTTTACGATGGCATCTAAATCTACTATTAATATCGCTAATAATCTTTGAACAAACAATACAAATGTGGGAAACAAATTGGGTGCACAGAAGCTTGGTAAATCGGTGTAAAACACACAGCGTACAAGTGCGGACCGGTGAAAGATGATACTCTGACGAAAAGCCTATGAATAGCGGTCAACCCAGACATCAGTGACTTTGAATTTATATTGAGGATTTCAGTCCATCAATATTTGTGAGGATTTGTTACAAGCCCTTGTCCTTTACCATTGTATAATTCGCCACAAACAGTAGTCACAATACAACAAGCAATAGAACAGTTCACCATTGATTGTTTCGTGCTTTACACTTCGCTAATTTGCAACGTAAACTTGGGCGCCGAGTCGGCGCCCGCTGCTATTTATCTACTAATTAGCCTACGCTGTTAAGACCCGCCTTTATCTCCGCCTACCCGATACTGCAGACAGGCGAGTGAAGCCAGCCATGCAGTAAGTGTACTTAAAGTGATCGCAGTTAGGACCACCGATGCCTACTGTGTGTGGTACTGAGCGCAATTTTATCAACATCAGTTGCCTGACTGGAAAAGGATATTAAACAGGCATTCTGTCTCTATTTGAATAGTTCTTGCAGGAAGCCTAGCTCAGTGTGTATCTATCTTGGAACTAAACAACTACATTTATCTAGGCTGACGTATACGCTTTACTACTGTAGTTTATTCACAGAGAACGTTTAAGGATTGCCTGTCAAAATGATTTTGCATATACCCTGGGAAGTAACGATCGTGTCGTTATTTTCTCTCATCATTTCCAAAGTTGAAGGTAAGCATTGACAATAATCTCACCATTTATTTATGTGCTAGATTATTAATAAAAGATGCATTATTAATTTAATTTTCATTTTGGTCTGCCTATACCATAGAGAAATAAAATTATTTCTATTTTCTTTCTCTATATGCCTAACCTAACCTCCCGAGCATTTCCAGTCCAGTACAATCTCTCTAAACATCCGCTAAACAAATCAAACTTTGACTGTATTTGGTCATTTCTATATATTTATTTTGTTAAACCAGCCTTTGAAGGACTTTATTATTTAATCACAAGTGTTGTACTTAAAGAACACATTCTATCTAAAAAGTATTTTTATACTGTATTACAATATAATGTGATGCATTCGTATTAGTTAATACACCGAAATGAGTCGCTTTCTTCTTGTATGATGTCATGACTTTTCTTTAGTCTCTTCTTTTTTTTTATCTTTGCTTATCTTCGGTAAAATAAGAATAGTAATTCGATATAAAATAGCGTAAACTTTAATCACTGCCTTAGGCTTAGTAAAAGAGACCACGACGGAAATGCTTGTACAGTATTAACTTTGGTATAGGCTCCAAAGACGTACCATCCATGGACCTATTGATGGACGTACCAATCTTGACATCGCACTTGGGGTGGTAAAATTCATTCCTGGGCCCTGTCCGTGTATCGTATATTACAGAATTGACAAAGCTTGTGCACTTAATTGCTAAACATACCCCCACTACGCATAGTTCGTTGGTTATCTACCGTACTTTTTTAAGTTAATAAAATTATAAGTACTACTTAAAAATTGACATTATTGTTATTAATTATTATTAGTAGTAATTAACAATAGGAGTATACTATTAATCATCATCAATTATTATTATTATTATTATTATTATTATTATTAATTGTTATTGTTAGATAGTATACCGTAACTACTATCATTACAATATTACAAGATTTTAAGACAACAATTTTTGAATAGTATCTGAATTAATAGGTTTTAATCATCTATGTCGTTCGCCATATGACCCCAACGAGTGATACTCTCCTATATAGTTCTACCGTGATCGTCTAAAATCTGTTATAATCGAAAAGCTCAATATTGATTTACAACCACTTCTGTTCTCCTATGCATGTGTAATGTTGACTCCGTTTCAAGGGCCAGTATACACAAGGGAAGTGCAACTCCATGTCTTTTCCGAAGGACGAATACGAATGTCATCGTAGTATACACACTGCAACAGTGCAATGTTTTAAAAACTTAAGTTGGAACGAGAAAATCACAGATATAATCTACTGTATACCATACACACCATAAACCCTCGAAAATAGAAGCTCTGGACTTCCTTTTTTAACGAACTCTGGATGGGGTTCTTTTCGAGGTGTGATTCTTTTCGAGGCTACTTCTGCAAAGTAAACAGAAGAGGGGGCTTATTTTCAAAATGAATGCTGTACATTTTGGGGATTATTATAAAACAATAAATAGGGCCACTGTAACATCAGTCTGTACCATGAGAGTGTATTAACCGGTATTCAATCACCTAAACGACTGTATAAACCAAGCGTGTTTTTATTTATTTTTATTTTTTGAAATTCATGTACAGTGTATGTATAATGTACTGTCTCGAAAAAGCCCATGTTTATTATCTTAAGATGAGCTTCTTTCCGAGGCTACTTTTGAAAACGAAAGAGGGGGGCTTCAATTCAAGATGGGCTTCTTCTCGAGATTAAGCCCATTGTGCTTCTATCGGGGTTTTACGGTACTCTATCTAGCACAATTATTGTACAGTGTTTATAAATAATTGACACGGTTCCATGCTAATTCGTATATCACCACCGATTTACTTAAAATTCATGGGTGGTCATAAAATGTTACGGTATATCACAAACTTGCTGCTTGTGTTTTATTCTATAGTATTTCGTTTGCTTAGCAGTCCTTCATTTGAAAAAAAATATATATATATATATATTTTAGTCATCTATTTTATAGGCCTGCACAACTTTCTGTTGTTTGCCGGTACAAATTGTTCTTTTAATACATCTGAACTATTTATTTATGTTTTGTTATTTTAATTAAGCCTATCATCAGTAATTTTATTATTTCTCATATTTGTTTTTTTTTTTAAATATTTATATTAGGCCTATTATTTTACTATTATCTTGGCACTGTAAATTTATTGTTATACCATTAATTATTAGCAAAATATGACAATTATGATAGTTTTAAAATGCCGTTTTAGTCGGCTTTTTTATCTGAGGATATATTTGTTTATAATTGAAAGTTAAAATAAATAGTTTGAAGCAGTGCGTGAATACGAGTGATAATTAGCGGATATCTTTGCACTAATGGACTCATCTTAAAAGGATAAAACTAAGTTGTCCTTGTCTTGTCATGATTCATAGATGACATTCACTTAAAAAAAAACATGATTTTCTTAAAATGTAGCTTATCAAAACTGATTAATATTCTTGGCAGCCGAGATTTGCATATACTTGGGAATCATCCGAGATTCTGTCGACGTCCCTTACCCATGGGACGCACAACACTCTTTGAGATAACAGAAATAAGTAGGCCCAGAAACCAATTATTGCAAGACGCTACATAGGGGATTGTATTTCCTCGGTTAACGTCACAGTGAGGTGGCCACATTTTGAGGATGTGTGCACATGCCCAATCGACTCGGTGTCATCTCAACCATCAACCTATTTCGGCTGTTTCCCCACTTCAGCCTGAAGACAGTGTTCTGCCGAACGTTAATTAATCGACAAAAATAGTCCTTGCTATTTTAAGACTTGTCTAGTTTTCTCATTTCGATAACTATAAACGAATAATTGTGTTTAATTAATGTCTCTCGATTTTCAGAATACTATGGTTAACCATGGTTTAACTGATCGGAATGAAACCAACAAAAAACAAGAATGTTGAATCCAGAATTCTCTTAACACAAATTCACTGGGCCATAACGGCCTTGTCTACACAGCCCGCGGCAATAACTCATGTTCTGATGGATGGCAGCAATATTGTCCTGTAGGGCCTATATATTCAAGATTTCATGTTGTCTGTTGTAGAAAATAGGCCTAAGCATGTCAGAAATAACAAGATCTATCCAAGCATCATGGAGGTACACAAATCAGATAAATTAATATTGTTATAGAAAGATGGTTGTAGGGCTACCTCTTGGTCTACAGTAACTAGATTAGTATCTGTTGTATACAATTATGGCGTTGTTTTTATAGCTACATCATAAAAAGAACGATTCGTGGTTTGAAGTTAAATCGACCGAGGTCCCTTAAGCCATGCTTTACGGTACCTGTAAAAACCTTTAGTTTTAGATAATCCGCTATACATAGCTAATTACTGTTTAGACATTTAGTCGACCAAAACTCTTAAATGACTGGGAAAACATTCTAGGATTTAGTTGGACATCAATATCTCTTTTACGGCGTCCGCGCATTGTTGGTTCAGTATAATCCTTTTCATGGCCATCTCACTAGAATAGAGTAGTCAAGTGAGCCGTCTGCTTCTATTCTTATACAGAGACAAACTACTTGAGCAGGCCCCACACTGTAGACGCTACAATCTCACTATCTTGTTCATTTCGTGCATTAGTCAGTTTATCATTAATAGGCCTACAATAGTTATTTTTATTACTTATCAAGCGTTCTCAGCTTCAATCGTGGATTTAGTAACAATACTGATGGACACCCGGGTGGAGTGTTTTCACGTCTTCTCCTGTCTGTAGATGTCGACGTTTTGATACTAATGTATTGTTTATCTTATCTAGGCCTATTACTGTTTGTTTTATTTATGTAATAATACGATTAGTCGGATTGAGTTGATGCATGTACATTAGCCTAAAGATTTAAATGAAACTAATCACCTCCTTACATCACGTCGATTTGTGTACGCTAATTCCGTCCTCTTAATACCGTCTGCCATAAGATGGCTATATAAATAAATCTAAAGTAGAATAAACATTAAATAGATCATTAATGTATTGAATTTTCATTTTTCAGCTCATCACGGAGCGTATTTACTATTTCAGCTTCCTTTTACCAAATAACAAATAGAGAATATTATTTTGATTGAAGAGGCACTGCAATCATGCGGGTAAAAATGTCTGGCGAGGAAATTAGTTTCTCTCCCTCCCCAAAGTCATGTATTTAGTCATAATATCGCCGAGGCCCGCTGGAAATCCCCTTCCCAAATTCTTTGGCTTTATTAATATTAAATGATATATCTGGCGTAATAACACCTTTAAAATATTATGTCCTTATTTTTCCATGACTTCCGTATATTGCAACTTGAAAATGTCTCTACTCGGAGGACGTCGAATGTCCATTTAGCCTATTTATTTATTAATGTGAACTTCAATTGCGATTTGTTGCAAAATTATAACATTACACCATAATAGGCCTACGTCATATCGGACTATTGCTCATTATGATATTAAATCTGGTACCACTTAATATAAGTCGTTACAATATGAAAATATAACATCTTGGGATAAGTGTGGTTAAGTCTAATAATTTACGATGGAGGGCGACTTAATTTAGAAGGTGTGCCCGTAGTACCACATTTAGCGTACCTTTATTCTTGTTATAAGATTTTAGCTGGTAGGTATAACTTGTTTTCCAGGGGTGTTCTACATCTTGTTCATTAAGAAGAATTACCAGGTACCGTATAGCCTATATTCTCGTTTAAAAGTAAAACCAGGGAGATTTAAAAAACGTTCGTGAGCTGACGTATCGGGCGCGCAAACGATGTCAGCTACTTTATGCATCACAAGCAATGAAGGCAAGAGAGTACAGGATTTTCTCATTTCATTCAAGCAGACCAGGATGAATTGAGAATCGGAATTAATCATGACGTGTCTCTCGAGAGTCGCTTGAAGAAATGATCATACCGTATCTACCAAGTTTATAGCAGAACTTGGCTGTTGCAGTCATTACGCCGAGCTAAACTAACTTCCGATTCCAATTCAGTTGATGTCATTGACCTACCGATCGTATACACA